ATATATATATATATGCATGGAGTTTAACTTTAAATCTGCCACTAGATTTCTAGATTTCACCAGTCTTCTGGGTTAAATGATGGCCAGTGTCATTTAACCCACTTCCTCTGAGCTTAGGCTGTCATGGACGCTCCCCCCTGAGACTGTGTCATCATGCCAGCCTGGCCTCAGAATACTACTGCAACAATAAATGCTCTTACATCATTACATGTGATTTAGTGCAGGAGTTAGGACCACCCACTTCCACCAATGGAGGAGAAGAGGATAGACCCATGATTGCAATACCATAGGATCCTTGGAAAGAGCTATGTATACGTGTGTTTATGTGTGTATGTGTAAAGCTGAAGTTCCCTTTTTAAGCTCAGAATTCCACAGTATCCAGTGCAGTTATCTCTTGAAACAGAAGTCATTATTGTGTGTCTATCTTAATGATGCTTTGGACAGAACCTCTGCATACTGCTTTGTGGCTAGCAAACTTCATGTCCTTTTGTTGCCTGTGAGCTAAGCAAAACAATCACCAAACACTATCCACTTGCACTTCTATACGCACTATGGAAATAGCTATTAACAGATGGTCATGTGCTTAAATTACCTTTTCTATTTTAAGGAGAAAATAATCCACATAATTTCCGGGATTATCTGGATCCAAAGTCTTTTTATTCATCTGCACTTTCTCTTCTGCATACTGGCTGAGCCTCCCTAGTGACTGGAATATTTTCTGATGATGTCCAGGGATATATTTCATCACTCCGGGAAACATCTCAAATATCTAAATGAAAAGACTTATCACATTAGAACATCAGTAGAAGAGACAGCTAAAAGGGCATCCTCAGGAATGCTGGTTGATCTCAAAGAACGCAAAAAATACCTACTCAGTTTACATTGACAGGATAAAAACTTACTTCCTTTATTCTAATAAAAAAAAATTGTACTCACCGTAAAATCCTTTTCTCTGTGTTTATTAAAGGACACAGCCATTTCTTCATTCAATGGAAGGGTTATATCGCCACCTGCAGGAGAAGGACAGTAAGCACAAAACAAGAAAGCACAGCTTTGGGGGGGTGGTCCCTGCTGGTGGCTCAACCCCCCACCATCTAGAGGCAGCTCAGTTAATCCCCAAGCAGTGAAGACAAGACAGACAACTTCTGGAGGGGCTGTGTCCTTCAAAGAACACAGAGAAAAAGATTTTACGGTGAGTACAAAAATCCTATTCTCTCTTCCGTTCATTGAAGGACACAGCTATTTCTTCATTCAATGGAAGGGATGCCCCAAAGCAGTGAGAATGAGGGGTGGGCAACCAAACAAAAGAAGAAAGGGGAACCCACACACTAAACAGCCGCTTGTAGAACTTTGCGGCCAAAACCCGCATCCCCAGAGGCAATAACATAAACTTTATAAAAACCGAGTGAAGGTGTGCACTGTCTTACAAATTTGCACATCAGAAGCCTGTTCCCTAGTCTGGCTTTAACAAGCAACATGCCGCAGAAACTGCCCTCCAAAAACTCACTAAGAAAATACTTACTGCTAAAACCAAAGGCCAATACAGTAATACCTTGGTTTACAAGCATAATTCGTTCTGGAAGCATGCTTGTAATCCAAAGTGCTTGTATATCAAAGCGAATAATAATGGAAACTCAGATGATTCGTTCCACAACCCAAAAATATTCATATAAAAATGATTATAATAATGTACTGTAATATAATACTGTACAAAATATAAAGAAAAATAAGCCAATTACCAGTACCTTCGTGGCTGCTGTGAGCGGGACGAGAGAGAGGAGGATTATTGTGTAGGACGACTTTCACTATCACTAACGGAATCACTGCTATCTCTTGACTCAGTGGAATCTTTTTCATTTCGTGAAACCTTAACAAGGAATCTATCCAATGTGACATTGCCTTGTTGTTAAACAGACTCATCGCTCGCACTGCTACAGCCTTATTCCGGTGGTGCTTTTCTACAAAATTTTGCTCTTATTGCAAGACATTGCTTGTATATCAAGGCAAATTTTTTTCAGAAATGTTTGCTTGTCTTGCAAAACACTCTCAAACCAAGTTACTTGTAAACCAAGGTATTACTGTACTCAGTACTCCTACTATTAGACCTTTCTGCTGACCAACCTCTGACAAGTTTTATTGTTATCATGTCTTCTGTTATGCTTAAGGTGATTTTAGCCATAATTGTGCACTTGCAACAACATTTAAAGTGGTACTTTCTCTGCATTAAAATAAAAAAGGCAGAGCACCTTTCCAAGTTGCCCTGTCACCCCCACACTTGCCTTCATTCGCTTGTCACCTCTGCTGGGTCTGTGAAGTTTTCGCTGGTTCCCCAACCTCCTGGTTTGTGGGGGTAGGTACTGAGGATAGTAAAGCAATTGGCTCCTACTGCCAGTCAAACAGTTGGGAGGAGAGGAGGGGCATGGTTTGCAGCACGTTGTGTGTGTGTCTATGGCCACACACAGCTAGGTGTGGGCGCATCCAGGAGCGAGCACGCATGGGTGTCTCCTCAGCAGCTGGCTAGCTGAAGGAAACATGCGCAAAGAGGGTGGGGAGAGAGCTGTTTGAGAAGATGCTGGAGCACAAGGAAGAAGAGCAGTTTAAAGAACAATACCGGATTCAGTTACGTGTGGACCTTCTCATTATAAAAAAAAAAAAAAACAATGAAGGTTTACTATCACTTTAAATCTGAACACATGAAAATGTGTTCCTCAAAAGCCACAAAGCATATGAATCGACCAAATGGCTTGAAAGAGAAGGGAAAGACTAGGGATAACATCATTATTGGGCTGCATATAGACTGTGCATATAGTACAGATGTGGGAGGGTCCCAGCAGGTCTTCCTACTACAGGCTGCCTGCAGAAAACTACAGGAGGAAGTATAAAAGACCAGTCACCCCACACAATAAAAAAGAACAGCATCAACCAGTCTTTATTACAGGAAGTTCTTGCACAGAGGCAAAATGTTAGGGAAAATCCACAAACTTTCAGACAGGGAGTAAAAGAAAACCTCTAACAACAACACCGACAATCAGTAAGAGAGGGGAAAATTCTCAACCCCAGATAGTAGCAGGATTCAAATTCTTCCCCACTACATCCAAAACTAAAAAAAAAAGTTTTGGGTAGACATACATTCTATAAAGAAAACCAAACTCTGTCTGCATAAAACTAATAAAGAATATAAACTGTTCCTTAGACAACACCTATGAATATATGCAGACTTTTTTAACATGTTATTATCAAATAGAGTCTTACCTGCCCCCAGGGTGAACTGATAACCATGAAGGTTTCATGTAAAGAACGCAGAACCATATCAATGTCCTTCTGCTCAATTTCTTGCCGATTTCCAAACATGATGGATAAGATGACCTTACAGTGGGCTCTGCTGATGTTCATTCGAGGGTCAATGAAAGATTCTAGAGCATAATCAAATGTAAACATAAATATTGAAGAAGGAACCATCAGAAATTGTATATTACATCTATTTCTTAAAAAAAAAAAATTTAATGTTGGGTTCAAGAAAACATCACGTAGTAGGCAGATAATTGCTGCATGGTGAATATACCAGACCTAAGAGAACAGCAAAGAGCCATAACGAGGGGGAAGGGGTGTAATTAGAGTGTAGTACTGTAGGGGGGTCTTTGGGAGGACACTGTTGGTCTCCTGAGGTATTTCCTGTGTGGTCTTTTCTCTGTGGGTTAATGGATTTCTCTGGTTGGGAGAGAGCATATTGGTGTGCGGAGCACAGTGTGACATAGTGCCATAGAGACCTAAAGGTTGGGTTGTGGTGTCCTCAGTCTATCCTGAGTATTCAGCAGATAAGGAACTGCCACTTATCAGAGTTTCAATGACGCAATGGGCAATGGCATCTTTAGCAGTGCTACCTGTAGAAGATATTGGATGCACTTCATCTGTGAATTTGAGGAAAGAAAAAGGATTCCTGGGTTCTCCGTGTGGGGTAAGTGGCTAGTGGCTCCGTGGACACTTGGCTCAGGATCTATGACTACCACATAAACTTAAAATCAGAAAGACTGCTGCTGATCTTTTGTGGTGTGACTTGTCCATAATGCAATGTAAATAACTGTGGGAAGCAGACCCTGCTGTGTGATTTTTTTTAAATGTAGCAACTCATGCAAAATCAGACCTGGGTGCAACCATCAAAGCAGTCATTCAGAATCTAGCTGTAATAGGAACTCAAACAATTAAAAATCAGCTTTAATTTATCACTGTTTTATTGATCCAGCGTTTCAGTGGGTCACAACCCAAGACCTGGACAAAGTTTGGCTTCAAAATAACTGTAGCGTTGCATCATTAAAACAGTGGTCATTAAAAGTGTTCCTGTTAATTATTGTGAGTGCCTATTAAATCTAGATTTATATATAGGGATGTATATATATAAAATTTGACACGGAAGGTTTCCTCATTATTTGCTTTTGAGTGCATTTTGCATTTTAATTCCCTCTGTACCAACCTTTGATTTCTCTTAACTCTTCTACTAAGTTCTGGAACTCTTCCTGAATCAGACTCTCTACATTCCTTTTTCCAAAGCCCATTTCTCTCAAGGTCGTTAGAGAAAACCTCCGTAGATCTCTCCATTCATTCATATTTTTAGTAAAGATCATCCCTAGTGAATAAAATGTCAATAAAACTTTAGGTAGTGTAGCTGGTTCTGCAAAAAACAAATCTGTTACAAGAGAAACATTGCTGACCCCCCCTACAGAAGATACTAGCTACTTTGATGTTAGATCAGTCCTCTGGATTTTGCACCTTCTTAGTACCTGAAGAATGTAGATAGGAGTTCTAACTTCATCTGCTGTATACCTGTTCCAGGTCAGTAACTCAAAATGTACTGGTCAAACAATCAGAATGATAACCAGCCAATAAGTAATTTCAGAAAGAGAGTTGAAAGGGTAGACTAATGATTTCATCAGTACTTACTTGGACATGTACTATGGATGTTGCTTATTTTGCATTCCACAAACCATTAGGGTGCATTCACACCAGAATTGGATGTGAGCCAAGAGTGGTACGTTGACTTGGCATCCATTGCGTTGCATTACTTTGCATTTGGGGGGTTTGGTTTGATTTTGATATTAATTATATAAGGTATTAGTTCTGCCTTGTGATAATGACACATGTTAATCAATTGCTAGTATCTTGCGCTAGGTAAAATTAAAACAAGAAGAGCATAATAAATATTTTTATTACCAACAAAATTGTTTTTAAGTACTACACCTAGGAGGCTTTTCTTTGTCTCTTTCTCTTTTCAAATACCGGTGAGTGGATATCGCTGCACGTACAAGGCAGCAGGAGAGAACCAGAGGGGGAGGAGAGAGCGGCGCCCAGTATAGCTATTTGAAAACTGTTGATAGCAATGGCCGATCGCACATGAGAGGCTGCTGCAACGACATTCTGGAATTTAATATCGATACTGAACCACTAAGTGACGTCCAGGAGGAAAAGATAAGTAATCACATTTCCCCACGTTTTACCAGCGAGAGTTGGGGTGCAACAAAGGACTTCTCGGACTGATTCATTAGGGTGTCAGCTTGGACACCTGGGAGGGACTCCTGCGTTTGCATAATTATCAATACCTGTGGCGGTGTCGGAGTTAAACTCGATGTATAGATCTAGCTTTGGATTCAAAATTGAGTTTTAATATGTACAGTTAATTTGGGTTGTGAAGAAAGTTAGATCACGATCACTTATCACATATATGAATGTGGATATATTAATATATTGAAGACTATTAGTCCGGACACTGAAAATAGTTTATTATTTAAAGCTCACGGACCCATACAGCTTTCACTAACACAGACTTATTTGATCACACAGATCACAGTTCAGAGACACATTTATTGATTCACAAGTTTATATATCAAGTTTATTTATTAATCATGTATTCATTTATCACAATTGAATGGAGGAGAAGTAGAGTTGGTTCTCCTTGTTTTAATTTTACCTAAAGCAACATAGTAGCAATTTTTTTTTTTTCACGGGTTCATCATATTGTTGCAGCTGGTATTTCTTTAGACTTATTAGATTACTCCGAGCGCAAATAGTTGTTGTTATATAATGTTAGCTGTTTACACCAGTTTGCTCTACTTTTTTTCAGCGAGGGCAGAACAATGCAACACAATGCACTGGTGTTTACTCTCATTCACACCCATTCATTTTCAGATATCCTTGCATTGGCATCTGTTGAAAAAAGATACTAACTCATCTAGTGTGAATGGGGCCGTATAGTCTAACTCCAGCCAAAACTTTTTGTTTTTATTAGAGCTTGAGCTTTGGACAGATGTTTTTCCTCCATCGATGATCCTATTGGTGAGATCCCCCCTCATTTAATGAGGACACATATAAAATGAAAACCAGTTTTCACAACCAGCTAAACAGGTGAGAATGGAAGAGTTAGAACTTCTGACAATGTTTGTATTGCTGTCGGTCCTGTCCTGATCCAGTGACAACAGCACCCTGCATTTCTTGTATGATGTTCACAGGGACAGCAAAAGAGGGATAATTGCCCATTTGAAGTCACAAACAAAGTCATAAAAACCTGAAAAAAACTTTAACCCTTCCCCACTTTATCCAAAACTTGAAAAAGTTTTTAGCTTTCTTCACTGTGATGGTGGCACACGCACATGCACTTCTTGGTGCTGAGTTCCTGGTATAGAGAGCGATTCATACTCCCCCCCCCCCCCCCAGGGCTGGGACAAAAGCCAACACTGTGCTATGTGGAAAGTTAGGAGTGCTTGAGCCTACTGTTTCACTTGAATGCTACACAGACACTGTGTAATTAAATAATAATAGTAATTACCCTTCTAGCTAAACCCGCAGCCAGCTATGACCTTTCAACATCTTAATAAAAGAGGGTGTGAGGGTAATGTTTACGTGACTGCTGTACTTTTTTTTAGAAATGTAATTGCCAACTAATTTGATTCGTTTACTGCTGTTCCAAGCAGTTTTTCTCTTTTCACAATACTTGGACTGATCATGTGACTTTTGCATGAAGACATTACTATTCAGCATTCAAGATGTAGGAAGTGAGTTGAATCCAGATTTAAGCTTCGATACATGTAGTAAGTTACATAGCCCTGACCACCTTTTATATATTCTATGCTGTACATTACATTACATAGCCCTAACCCCTGTACTCTATATTCTTTGATGTATCTCTGAGAGTCCTGAGACCTGTACTCTATACTCTGTGTTTTATGTTACATAGTTCCGATAGCTGACCCTTTATATTTTTTTGTTGTACCTTACATAGTCCTGACCTCATGCTTTCAATTCTTCGCTGTACATTAGATAGTCGTGACCCATTCACCTTACAAGTTATGTTGTATGTTACATACTCCTAAGCTTACTATTGTGTAAGCCTTTTTGTGCTTTACATACTACCAACCATGGTGTTTATTTTCTTAACAGCTGCTGACCACTTATAGTAGTAGTTTCCAACTGTTTTAATTACGTTTTTATTTAATATAAGCACAGAATAAGTGTTAAATCATATGTAATGGAAGAACTTTATTTTTCTTTAAAGATACCTTATATGTGTCTGAGACTGTAGCGTGTGGCACAATAATTAAAGAGTATTTAGTGTGGGTACAGGGACTGCAGCATATGTGTGCATTGTATACTTCAAGAGAACTTGAAGTTATTTAACTATACCTTTTTAAACCAAGCCCAATATCCAGGCAGTATAGCAATGCCCACTTCTCCCTTCACCATGCGTAGTACATGTCATCTATCCATCAACGTGTCTCTCTTTCTTAAGTACGAAGGCATGGGATCCCTGTGGCGCATGCTGCAGCTAGGGAGCACTTCCTAAATTAAAAGGCTGTTTTTTGTGTATTACAGAGTATGCGTAGAGTGTAATAGAGAGCCTCTGTCTTTGTGTGCCTGGAGAGGGTAATATTGAGCTTTATAAGATGGGCTAAAAGGGAGGAAGAGGGTTACCTCCCTGCTCTGTAAGTCATTCTGCAACCTGTATATTTTGATGTTCCTGCTATTCAGGTCTATTTTACAACACAAGCTATTATGTAAGCCTCTATAAAAATGCATGCAAGTATGCATGTAATATTATTATTATTCAACATTTAATATCTTCCTGACTACAGTAAAAACTAAAATGTTATTTTTTTATTTTATTTCTGAATACAACATAACACCATACATACATATAACGTGATTATTATTATTTATTTTTTTAATGAGATTTTAACAAGAAAAAATACCAGAATTGTCGAAGAACAAATCCCAGGATGGCATGTCTCCCCGGCTTAAGAAATCATCTCCTTTATCCAATAAGACTTCTTTTACCATTGTGTATCCAGTCACCACCACCGTTGGACGAGATCCCAAATAGACAGTAAACACCTCACCATATTTCTTACTGAGCTGCATTAGAATAAGGAATATAAAAAATTTAGTTTTTACCAGAGATGAGAAAAAACCCTTAAAAAATGAATTTAACCAGAATGCTGTGCATAGATCTGTTTTATCTTATAGGTCAATTTATCTATTGATCTACGCAGATCACACTTTTTTTTTGCCTATCTTTGCTGGAGGAACCCTTGAACAACCTTTTAGACCTTGGGTTACCCTTGCTGAAAATTAGTATATATACAGCCCACGGTACATTAGTATAATGAGTAAGTTTTGTATATAATAAGGAATCTGATATATGATTAACATTACTCTGCTCTGTGTGACAAACATAATAATAATGGGCAGTGAAAATTGTGGTATTACCTTACACTGGTGGTCAGTACAGAAGTGCCCCCTCTTATTTATTACCGGTATTTATAGAGCCCATGCACGTTACATCAGTACCTGCCCTCAAGGAGCGTACAATCTAAGATCCTTATCACACAGCCAATTTAGGCATGGGCAAAAATTAGTTCCAGCATGTCTTTGGAGTGTGGGATGAAAGCAGAGTATCTGGTGGAAATCCAAGCAAGCACAGGAAGAAACTCTTTGAAGATAATGTCCTGACTAGGATATGAACCAGGGACCCCCCCCCCCCCGGGCCGCCCGG